GGAGAGGTGGCATGTGCTGAGGCGAAGAAGAGAATCCAATCGGAGATAGTCCAAGGCAACACATGACTGACTGGAACCAGAGACATTAACCAAATACAGTACCCGGCCGCCAGAACTCTGTTAGAATACCAAAACCCCTGAGACCAAATATTAGCCCAGAACATGTTGGAGAAGAATGCAGCCAGTACAGCATACTTATCAACATCATGGGCTTGTGAGTAGACTGCAGGCTGGCTAGATTTGATGACAGTGCAGATGACATGGGAAATATGACCCTTGGAACAGGGGACCAAGGAAACAGGGGTCAACCAACAAGCTGTCCACTGAGGCAGAACTGGTGACTTTCAGGTAATGGCAAAGAGCTGCCACCAGACACAAGTGATTCACCCTGGGCCAGACCAACCAGACATCAATAACCAACATACTCCTTTGAAAGCTAACCAACTGATTCTTTGCCAGGAAAAGAGAAAGTTGCAAATGAACAAGCCCCCCCACCAGGCCCAAAGTAACAAAACTCCCACTTCAGGAGAAGAGCCTGAAGCTCCACAATTCTACAGCTAGACGCAAGATTAAAAAAAAACACTGCTCTGAGCAAGATATTACGAGCTGAAGGGGAAATTGTAAAACGAAGCGAGGAGAGGAAGACCAACACCCAGTCAAGTGACCAGGACTGCTCGGGAGGAGCAAGACCAGGCCAAAGGTGAAAAAATTCATGAAACAACTTGCAAAAGGATACCAAGAAGGGGTCAACATCAAATGAAAGCAACAGCAGCTCTGGCAACGCAGAGCGATAAGAAGCGGCAGTAATTACCTAAGTGTAGTTAGAGGATGAGAGCTACGCTCGTGGTGTCCCGTCTCCCCAGCACTCTTTGTCATATAATGCTTTGAAATTACTGACGGTTTTGGCCTCCACCACCTTCTCACCTAACTTGTTCCAACCATCTACCAAGCTGTTTACAAAAAGTGAATTTTCTTATATTTCTCCGGCATCTTTGTTTGGTTAGTTTAAAACTATGACCTCTTGTTCTTTTAGTTCCGGGTCTCGGGAACTCTTCCCTATCAATTTTATCAATTCCTGTTACTATTTTGTACGTAGTGATCATATCACCTCTTTTTCTTCTATCTTATAGTTTTTACATATTTAATGCCTCTAAACTCTCCTTGTAGCTCTTGACCTTCATTTCTGGGAGCCACTTAGTGGTATGTCTTTGCACCTTTTCCAGTTTGTTGATGTGCTTCGTAAGATATGGCTACCATACAACCACTGCATATTCCAGCTTTGGTCTAACAAAAGTGGTGAAGAATTTCTTTAATATTTCTCCATCTATGTATTTGAAAGCAATTCTGAAGTTAGAAAGTGTTGCATAGGCTCCTCGTACAATGTTCTTAATGTGGTCCTTAGGTGACAGTTTTTTTTTTTCTAGAACCACCCCCTTTATCTCTCTCTATCAGAATTCTTTAAAGATTTCTCACATAATTTATAGGTTGTGTGGGGTCTGTTCTCCAATTCCACATTCCATAATATGGCATTTATTCACATTAAATTCCATCTGCCAAGTGGTGCTCCAAATACTTATTTTGTCCAGGTCTTTCTTGAAGGGCATGACAATCATCTAGGTTTCTTATCTTCCCTATTATCTTAGCATCATCAGCAAACATGTTCATATAATTCTGTATTCCATCTGGTAGATCGTTTATGTAGACTATGAATATTACCAGTGCAAGAACTGAACCCGGTGGTACTCCACTTGTGACATTCCTCCAATCCGATACATTGCTTCTGATTAGTGTAGCAAAGTGTAGCAAAACACTCCCTACTGAATTGAAAAGCTGTCCAACTTTTACATCATTCAAAATCAATACTAAAAAGTACCTAATTTCATCTTCATAGTTTTTCACTTTTTGCCTTAAAATTGCACTGTATCTATTGCTACCCAATCTCCCAACCTTTATGTTCCCAATTTGAACATCTTTACCATTGTGATCATTGCTGTCTTATATGTGCTGCCAATCTGCTGTATGGTGTTTATAAATCTTGTTTAAATTACTAATCAAGCTGTCAATGTAATCAATCAGAGCTTTAATATAACAATGTGCTTTAATATACTTACTAAGCTCTCTCATCTCATTTTTCTCTTGCAACGTATCTTTATCATTTATCAATTCTGATAGAAATTACCTACTTAAAATTATCTGCTAGATTAAGGACCTGCCCGAAACGCTGCGCGTACTAGTGGCTTTACAAGAATGTAAATACTGTACTATCCAATGTATTCTCACAAACCCAATGTACCTTCTTGTATATATATAAATAAATAAATAAATAAATAAATAAATAAATTACAGCCCTCATTTTTCTATCAGGTAGGAAATTTTTCATTCATGCTAGCAGCTTACCTGTCACCCCTCCAATCTGTTCTAGTTTCCAGAACAACCTCATATGTGGAACTGTCAAAAGCCTTTTTTAGGTTGATAGATGCAGTCAATCCAACCATTACACACAGAGATCACACTAACGTGATGCATCAAATTAACAAATCCACAAGGGCCGTGACGAGGATTCGAACCTGCGTCCGGGAGCATCCCAGACACTGCCTTAATCGACTGAGCTACGACAGGGTAAAAGAGTTTGAAACCTGAAGTTCTACTGAACTTACTGGATCCCATAACCTCTCCAAGGCACAAACCAGGATTTTACACAACTCCCCCTGCACCCGATCTATGTCAGTAGGCCAACCCAACCATCTCTTTCCTGTAAAATCTCTGTGGCTCGATCATAGAAACTGAGTAAATTCATTACACAGGATCTTCCAGATCTAAACCATACTGTCTGTCTGGTATTATATAATTTTTCTCCAGGTGTTCTACCCATTTAGTTTTATTTTTTCCAGTATTTTGACTATTACACTTATCAATGATACAGGTTTGTAATTGAGTTGAGAAGGGGGGTCTTCCCTGCTGCTACTTTTGTAGATTGGAACTATGTTAGCCTTTATCCACACATCAGCTACAACTCCTGCACACAGGATTACCACTTAGGTAATTACAGGGATGCCTGAAAAATCATTTGAAGTGGAATGCTGAGCTCAAGTGCACATTCTCTCAGAACCCATTGTGAAACTCCATCTGGACCATCTGCTTTGTTCTTAACTCCTTGAGCATTTTTCCACTTCGTCTCTAGACATCTCTATAAGCTCTATGTTGTTCTCTGGAATTCTTATTGTCTCTGGTTCCCTGAAGATTTCATTTTGTATAAATACACTTTGGAACTTTTAATGTTTCACACGTTTCCTTTTCATTTTCCGTTAATCTATTTCTCATTTTCAACCACTGAATATTATCCTTTACCTGCAATTTGTTGTTTATGAATAGACCTGGTTCTGTTTTACATTTGTCCGCAATCCCTTTTTGAAAATTTCTTGCTGCCTCTCTCCTCATCGCCGTGTAGTTGTTTCTCATATCTCTGTATCGCTGGTATATTTGAGGGTTTAGCCTCTCTATATTCATTTCATTTTTGTGTCTTTTTGGTCTCTGACCCTCTCACAATTCCTGTCGAAGCAATCCTGTTTCCTTGTTCTGCATCTCTGCTTTGGTATAAATTTGTTTGTGCCTTTATCATATATTTCACAAAACTTGACATAAATCTCATTTACTTCATGTCCTAACACCAAATCTTTCCAGTCAAATTCTTTAAAGAAATGTCTGAGTTCCCATAATGACCTCTCATGAAATGGGGCTTTTCAACTACTTCAACCTCATTTTCTTCCAGATTATAATGCAGTGCATACTTTATTCCCAAAAAGACATGGTCACTTTTACCCAAGGTGTGTGACATCACACATGTATGAGGGTGCATTTTGTACAAGAATCAAAGTAAATAGTTCTGATCACACTGTAGAGAGGAAAACATCATGGCTCGCTGAGTTGAATTCAAGGAATAAGTAAAGGCTGCCTTATTTCTATATTTGTTTTTTCTTTAATTGAAAATTTTTAAAATTGTTTGAAAATATGCCAGCTTTGTAATAGCCCATTCTATAAATAATGTACAGTATTCCAAAAACTTTATTGAATGACTTTTCCTCTATCTTCATAAAAGCCTAGTTCTAGAGGTTAATATACTAATATCAGCACTAAAACAGTACTCGAGTACAGTATTTTGTATATTACATGGCTGTGTTGAGTGTTTTTAATAGGAAATTATCTATAAACCAAATGTACACCCAAAAATATATATTTAAAGTAAATTTCAAAATGATAATTAGGAAAATTAGTTTTTTTTATAGGAAAATTATATTTTCTTAATTATGAAAATAATGTATTTGACCATTTTCCTGTGATTGCAATGTATTGTTTGAAGATTACCGACAGTTTTATTCTTATGATATTTGTTAGATCAATGTTAATATGGTATATGTTCGGAAATGTTTTGGTGAAGTATTCCTATATGCCTTGATACAGTACAACCTTCTCTACAGTATTATAAGCTTACTTTTAAAATAGGTAATATGTAAATATAATTTATTCCAAGTAAATTAAGTTATGCTTATATGCATTTTTTTTTTTTTGGTCTTGAACATATCTAATCTAGTTTTAAACCATATTTTAAGATTCATTAGTAGTCTGTATTTCCTTTAAGTATTGCATTTATGCTTTATGCATTTACTTCTTGTTTAAAATGTCCAAGTAACATTTCTTAGTATGCTGACTGTTGTATTTTATCTTTTTTGTTAGAAAGATGCTTATTATTTACTGTCCAAATGACAGTTCTCATAATGTTTATTCTTTTGAGAATGTCTCCCTATGAGATTTATGTATGCAATTATAAGTGCTCCTATGTTAATATTAGAATTGAAAGTAGAAAAATATTTTGATAAAATATTGTTTACTTTAATAAGTACTACAGTACAAGCAAGAAGAATTTTTTCATCCAAGTTCTGTATTGTTAATGTCCTACATTATAATACTCATACTTACCTGTAGGCCATTGCCAGTGCACTTACCCTAACATAGACATTTCTGCCACAGATCTCATACTTGCCATCTGCAACTCGCTTAACGTGAGATTTAGTACAGTCCACCTCTTTGCATCCACAGTACCCACGAGTCTGGCTTGCTATGTCAAGAACCTGCAAAACATCAGCATTGAATGTAATGAACTGCTTCTTTCTGGTGGGTCCTATGGTTGCTCCCTGTTATTACATCTTGGATAGCTCCCCAATTTGAATCACACCCAAAGCCAGCCTACTGCAAATCAGAGGTCAAAACCTAGACCTCTCAGTGAAGGTTAGTTTAGTTCATTTATTATGCACCCATCCTGTGGAAAGTAGTGGAAATGGTTACAGAGGTATGTAATAGGCTCAGGGACTGAACCCCAGAATACATTTAACTAAGCAAGTTAGTTTTGACTTGTTTTGAGCTAGTTACAAAATTTAAGGTATATTGTTATATGAACAATGAGTTAAGAGACTGACCCCAAGTACAGTATCTAAGCTAAACAATTTACATATGTGGTAAGCTAGTTTCATAATTGGTATGTTTATCCTGCACACCACCGCCCATCCAGTGAGCAGTGGTGGAAAGACTACAGAATCCAAGATCCTTCTTAAATTAAAGAAAAATCACCAGAAAGGTAGATTGAACCAAACCAAACAAACAAACAAGGCAAAACCATAAATTAAAAACACAAGACAATTTGGAAAAATTAAAGAAAATTTAATTCCATAGAGTAAAAAAATACAGAAAATAGGCAATCCAGCAAGCCACCTATTTTCTTTTTAGTGTCAGTTGATCACCACCAGATAGCCCCCCTCCCCTCCAGCCGAGCCCTATTTCCCAACCCCATTGCAGTTATACCCAATGGAAGGCCAAACACCCCGATCCACCTAAATGAAAAAAAGTGGAAAGGGAGGGGTCCAGGGATCCACCAAAGGACCCACTAGAAAAATGCATTTCATTACATTTAATGCTAGTTTTCTGGAGGGATTCCATTGGTGGCTCTGTTGCTATCTCACCACATAGAAGAAAAGCACAGTGAGGAACTCACCAGGTATGGTATGGAGGGAAGCTGAAGTCCATAACCCCTGAAGGAGGAGGAAGTCAGGGATGGGAAACCTGACTCAGAGCTACACAAGTCTGGCATATCCCTGGCACATTAACCAAGTATCAATCTGCTAATACCCTGTTTAGATGCCAGAATCCTTGAGCTTTATATCATCCCAAGAAATATTAGCAAACATAGCAAAGTTGTACACTTCCTTGTGTGGAAATAAGACTTTCTTTTATTGGCTCTCACCAAATAAAAAATGAGGAACCAAAGATGCAACCTAAGAAGCAAGAAGAGGAAAGAAAAACCAAATCCTTATCTATGACCAATTAGACTAAGGAGGAGAAGAAGCTGGAGGTAAAAAACACTGGTACTGCATGCAAAAAGAGGCTGATAAAATGTTGATGTTGAATGCTGGTAAAAGCATTACCATCAAAGCCAGTGTTACAAGGCAATAATATTCAGCATGAAAAGCCAATCGACAAACAATGATGACAAGAATCACAAGACAACAGAAATGGGAGAGAAACAGTAGAGAAAATAAAAATGCCAATATTTTTCATACTGCCACCTAGATGAAATACACAAGTGGGACACCAAAAGAAGTCACCTGAAGACCATATAAATAGTAATAGACCAGAGTTAAAATTCCAGCAGTGAAGACCAGCAGAGTGCCATGAACCATTGAGGAAGGATTCAGATTCAGTCTTCTGAAAGAGGCAGAGCAGAAGAAAAATACATGGGTTCAGAGTGGTCCAGATGAGCTGGAAACCAGGACTGGAAAATGTCTCCAGTTTGGCAAGAACATGGAGCAACATACAAACCCACCAGCTCCAGTTCAGTTGAAAAACATCCACTACAAAGAGCTCCTCAAATTGTTGAAAGAGTGACAGGTGCTTTTAATGTAGAAAATGCAAGAGCTTACATGTGGGGGCATAACAATGTACATCACAACTACCAGATCAGCAACATTACCTCGTAGCAGATTGATGAAGAAAAATTGCCTTTGAGTAAAAATCCACCAATAACTGAAAGCTACATACTATTTAGTAGCTACAGTAAAGAAATCATCCCGAACTAAGTTGACTCATACCAGGAACAGTTGAGAGCTTCAGGGTTAACAACCTTGCAACCAGAATGTTAGGGCTGACTTCATTGAAGCTTTTAAAATATTGAACAATCCAGAGGACATTAATTCAGACCACTTCTTCAAAAGGTCAGATGTAACAAATAAGGAACAATGGTTTCAGGCACCAATCAATCCTCCTGTTTAGATAGTGCCTATTGTGACGATCGCCGATAATCATGAATTTGTATGTACTTAGCTTTTAGACAGTAGTATACTGACTAGTAAGGAATTCTTAAAAAATAAACAAATTAAGCTGAAAAACCAACTTAAATATTCTTAGGCCTAGTATAGTACATTATATGTGATATATTAGGCCTCGGTTATTGTGTATTAGGCCTAGGAAGGTTAGGTTAGGTTTAGTTTGTCTTTGCAAACAAGTAAATAATAGTGTTCCAGTTTGTCCAACTCAATATTGCCGATTTCTACTTTCGAATTTTGTTGTATGTCGGTATATATACTATGATCCTCATTGTTACTATAAGTACAGTACTACCAAAACAGGAGGATGGGCTGCAGGCTCAACAAGTCGCAATGTAGGACAGAAAACAGATGCTTTTTCACCTATGGGGTTATAAACCCATGGAATCACCCAACCTGTTGAAGCTGTAAATGCCAAAACACTGCTGCAATCTAAGATTAAGCCTGATCAAAGCATCAGGACAAATGGGGGAGCTTTGACAAGCCCCTGGCTTCCTGTCCTTAATGAGGCCACTATCCTCTGGTAAATTGAAGAAATGTGGAGCAGTTTCCACCAGAAAGTGACGAGCCATTGGATTTCCACATATTGTACATAAATTAATTTTCATCTTGGCTGTCATGATTTGGCATTTTACTCAATTATATAGTTATACACTTAATCCAACTTGCTGATTACCTTATTATCAAGATCTGTTCTGTGGGCTTCGTTAACACTTTCTGATTGGACGGTGTTGTAGCACTCCTGAAGGCGACTGCAAATAGATGGGGACCTTGAGGGAGGCTTTGATGAGGGTCGTGAAGTGGGACGGGAGGTTGACACAGGACGAGGTGCTGGTGCTCGTTGCAGTGATGTCATGTATCGTCGACCTATGAGAAAAATGTTATATTATTCCAAGGATAAAACATAACAAAATGATGTGGGTTTTTGCTGATTTTCTTTAAAATAATATATTATTATGCTAAGTATTAAGTACAGTATTACCCCAAACATTTCAAACTCAATACAGAACACTCATTATCTTAAGTTATGCCTGAAATACTGTGTGTAATTATTGGTTTTATAATACAGCAGTACCTCCATTTTCAAATTTAATCCGTTTTCAGAGACGGTTCGAAAATTGAAATGAATTTTCCCCATAAGAAATAATGTAAATTGAATTAATCCGTTCCACACCCCCAAAAATATTAACTTAAAAATACATTTTATACATACTACTACTCATATTTTGTACTACAGTATGTACAAGTATATCTTACCTTTCTGCAGGGTGCCCCTTTCGGCTCCTTGGAGCTATCGGACTGATATGCGATATATTAGTCTAGGGCATTAGTCATTGGAGTTCATCCTACTGGGGACCATGAGCCAGAACCTGGCCCTCTCAGAGAGGCATAGGGAGCAATAGCCTCTGAAAAAAAACTTTTTGGTTGGGGGGTTATTTCTTGTCTGCCATTGACTGGGATTAGGCACCCAGAAAGGTAGGCATAACAAAACACACCCCACTTGGTAAGAAAATTGCAACCGAAGACTGAACACGGAGGCAGAACATCTCCAACTCTCAAGGAAACAAGCATACGTCATACACTGCTGCTGTGCCGTGTGTCCGCGCAGCCCTCCCCTCCCTGGGAGGGGGAGGGGGGAGCCCCAGACCCCCATGCCGGGCTATACTCACACCCCAGTTTGTTGGCTGATGCGATCTGGTGCAGTTGTTAACTCTTGCCTCGATTTCTTGGCAGCGTTTAGCTTTTGTGGTGTTCTCTGCAATATTGTAGTGCAGTGGCCAGGTGTACCTACAGAGTACTGGGGCTGCATGCTTTTAAGGCCACCTTCCCTAAGCACCCTGTAAGTACTACCTTTGGGTGATAGGGGTTGCCTTCCATACTGTCTTTGGGAAACCAATTCCATAGGGTTTCTTGCTGCTCAGCATTTGAACAGCCCTTAGGGCCAGCTGGGGTTTCGTGGCCTTTGTTTGGCCTTGGGTAGGAAGTGGTCTTGTTTCTGGTTGGGGTGGAAGATGTTACGCAGCCTGTCTACCTATGCGGCGGCTATATGTCTGTTCCATCAGGAGACGTACTTTTGCGGGGTTTTTCTTTTCTTTTTTGTTTTCTTTGCCAGGAGGGGTCTGTCTTGTTTGGTTATATGTCCACTTATGGTTGTTGGTGGCCCTTCTGTAGGCCCCAGTGTTTGTACACATCGCAGGGGCTCAGTTTTTAGCTCATCATCCTTTTGTTAGCTCTTGGGTTTCACCGGCTTTGTAGCACCTTGCCTGGGCTTCCCAAAGCAGTCAGCCTACAGTCCCTGGAAACCCCTTCAGGGCTCAATAGACCGATGGATGCGCCTTCTGAGTTGCAGTTCGCCTTGTGCGAGTTTGAAGGTTGCTCTGTACCCTTGTCTCAGGGTGACAGTCGCCTCATTTTGCTTCCATTGTGCTGCCTGTTGGGTCGACGACACCTATGACCCGGATTCTTGCGAGATGTGTTCTCTGCTCATGCTTCAATTTACCCATTCTATTGTCACTGAGGTTTGGGTACAGGCGGAATCCGCGTTGCATACTCGGATGCGCCGAGGCTGCCACCATTTTGGTTTGGCGTTGTTTGCCCTGTCCTCCCGGGATTCAGGGACTGGTTTGGTT